TGGAAGATCCGAATGAGGAGAGCGGTTACAAGAAAGAGGAGTTCAAGATTCTGTGGATTCCGATCGAGAACGTATGGGGCGGTGCGCGAAGGGAACTGTTGGGAACGCTAAAGGATGGAATAAGATGGTACGTGGTGGAGTACGTTCAGCCCTTACCTGGCATCAGGCTAATTGAAGAGGACCTCAACTTCCGGAACAAACCCATCCTTCCGGTGGTGAATCCGCAAGGTGTCGTCGTGAATTATGATGCACTGGACATCATTTTCGAATGGGGCATCGATGCATTCCCTTTTAGAAAATCTGATGGTGATCGACTTGCCCAGAAATGGAAATGGTTCTGGGATGAAATCAGGAAAACAAATCTTAATCATATACAGGTAAAAAACCAAAATTAAGCACCTTCCCCTGTTTCAAAAAGACTTTAACTTCTGTGCACTCTTAGTGCAAAATTATGATTTAATAAAAAATTTATTATCAATATCATTTTTTAAAAAAGAATTTAACTTTTATGTTATATATCTTAGATTAGTTTCTATCTACTATAAAAAAAAATCATTTTTTATAAAATAAGTTCGTCGTTTGAGACAATAATTTATAATTTTCTTATTTATAAGATTTTTTATGAATATTAAAATTTGAAATTTATAACTATTTTTAACAATTTTTGTATCCTAATATTAATTTATTACATAAAAGTTGATTTTTTTATTTAAATAAAATTAAATATCTTCAAATTACTATATTTAGTATTTACTCTTTAAAAATAGAAAAACCTTACTAAAAATATTTATTGTATAGAAAAAAAATTGATAATTATTTTTTAAAACAATTAAAAGTATTTATATATTTAGTGTTCTTTTAGTGTTACGTTTAGGATTCACTTCGATAATATTTTGTTTAATTATTGATTAAAATATATATCAGCTAGTGGTTACCAAATTAATTACATGCAGAAGTTATTAATAAGAGAATGATGATAATGTGAGACTTGATAAATTTTAAAGAATGATAAACATGTAGGCACATTTATTTAATTTGATGCTACTGAATTAAGCAAATATCCAAATGTAATTAATTGTCTGTGTTTACCATGTGATCAAATAAGGTGAAAGGTGATAGGTATATCTTCATATATGGAGGTAGCGACAAGTGGACCCAAGAATTCACTTTAGCAGTGGACAAAATCAAGAGGCACCCAACAATAAGGAATGCAGACGTAATAATAGACTATTATCATCTGGGAAAGGATGATCCCAAGATAGTTCCTCGATTCTGGATTGGCATAGAGGGGAAGAGACAAAGGAGGCACTACGAGAATTTGGAGCCTGAGATTCAAGAATTTGTCAAGAGTTTGCTTTGCCTCAAGCAAGATATTCAAGGATGGGCCATTCTCACCAAAGGCTCCAATGTCAAGATTCCGGGTCACGCTCAACCCATGTATCAAACTGTGGCAGAGTTTGACTCGTGGAAGGATAAAGTGCTCGTCAAAGAAGGCTTTGACATTGCCTTCCAAGAGTACTATGAGGTCAAACGTGAGGAACTACCTGCTCCTCAACCATGCGCATACATGAACATTGATAACTACGCTTCGAATAATGTCCTAGCAACCATAACATGTCCCAATGCCTCTTGCGGACGTGTCATGGAGGTGACATCTGTTAATTACAAGTGCTGCCATGGTAATGTTTCCGACAAGGTTAAAGTTTGAGTTGTTGAACCAGGTTAGGCTTGTTTTGGAGAAATGTCAACCTGAATGGATTCAAACTCTGTTTTTCTTACTGTATTTATGTATGTGTTTATGTATGTGTGTCTAAACAAGTGCCTCAATTGCTTATCTCTTGCGGCCACTTGATTTGTCCTTAAATGGGCGAAATTAAATAATGGCATCTTCTATATCTTCTGAATTAGATATATGATTGAATAAATAGTTCTGCATGCGCAGAATTTGAAATTAGGAATTGAATTCTCCCTGATCTTTCTCTTCTTCAATGTTCTAGTACCCTACTTCTCTACTCCATTCAATTTCTTTTATTCAGAAAAATGATATATAATATATAATTGAACATAAATAATTTTTATTAAGAAAATTTGGATCTATATATCTATATATATATATGCAATGTTATTAGGACCACTCAATTTAACTATTAGGTTAATAAATTATAGGTTGAATTATTAGATCATTGGTTGAATTGCATAAACTAATTAAATATATAATTTTATATTAACTATATAGTATTAAAATTACTTTTTTGACATATATATAAAAGTCACGTGTTGATGTAGTGGTTTGCTATCTTTCAAATATTCAAGTGACTTTGATTTTACTTCCATAAGACATATAATTTAATAGATAGTTCAAATTAATTAAGTGGTTAATTTCTAGGTTAGTCTGAGTTGACATTTGACACATTGTAGAATGCATTCTTTTTCTCTAGAAACTTTTTGCCTCATTATGAGAAAAAAAAAATTGCATATTAAGCACAATGATATATAGAGCGTAGAACTCATACAAAAGTATGCAAACTAGACATGATAATTAAACTCAAGCTCATGGATACCTATTTGCAACACAATTTTGATGAAAAAAACTTGCTTTGATGAATTCAAAATTTTGGTACAAATTTTTCTCAACTTGTAAATTCGAGTTTATGTTTGATAAAACCTTGTATCTTGCTCTAATTGCTTTGATCATCACTAATGGTAGTTGGTGACCTTTCAGTAGTTCTTTCCTCCATGATAAACTATAACCATCAAACAATTTCATCCATAGTCCATTAACTAAGTTGAGACTTTGTACCTCAAACTTTGTGATTAACTCATTTCAACTTTAAGGTCGATAGGTAAAGTCACATTATCTAGGAATCTCTTAATATTTTGGAAGATTTTTTCATATTTATTTTATCCAAAAATAACATATTAATCAGTAATTAAAAGAATGAAATACCATAGTTTTGAAACCTTAATTTTAAAAAATTTGGTCGACCTTAACAAATTTAGCAACAATCTTTCAATAACCATTACAATAATAAAAGAAACAAGTTTTACCTAGAAAAACAAGAAATAGAGTAAATGTTGAAGATGGAGAGAAATATAACGAACAAGCACTTCCAATTATGAACTCACCAAAAGCTAAAAGGACTTTGTTCGCCAAGTTATGGTTGAAAGGAAACGATGGTAAGAAAAGAACTTTGAAAAGTAAGAACCATTTATAAACCTAATGTGTTATCAACATCAAAAGATGCTTGAAACCACACTTGGCAATGTATTTTGAATTTAAAACACATACCTCCTCAATCGTAAAATTTAAGTGACAGTTATTTAGGATAGCAAATGCATAGTCACAAATCGATTTGTGATAAGTGTCTCAAAGTATAATACATTGAATGATGAGAAATACATCCACTAAGATACTGAAAAACATAAAGTTCGTGAAAGAACTGAGGTCAACACAATCCAAATCAATCATGGTTATCAATTAAATTTTAATGTATTTTAAAATAAATTAACAATAAATAAAATTATTTTGTGCTATAATATTAATTATTTATAATATAATTTATATATTTAAAAGTATTTTTTTATATAAATTTTAAATATAATTTATATATTAAAATATAATGACTATTTATATATATAATTTATTATAAAAAATTTAGTTATATAATAAAAATATTGTATTTGTACCTTGCATAAGCTAAAATAATAATTATGTAAAACCCTAAAAGAAATTAAACGAGTTTTCGATCATATGAATAAGCATAAAAAAAGGGGGTTTTTAAATAAGCTAATTTTAGAAACTTCTTAGTTTCTCGTTTTTATTAGAAATTTTAAGATCTAAGATTACCAGATAATTTTTAACTTAAAAGTAAATTTTAAGTTAAAAACTAAAAAATTATTAAATAACTTATATATTTCCTTGATAACAAAAACCTGAATTAAAAAAAAAATCTTAATGGTAAGATTATTTACACGGGTTATTGCCAAGTAGGATTAATTTTTTTTCTTTGCATTTGTTATCCCCCAATGGGAACGAAGTTGACTAGTAATAGATCTCGAAAGGTGGGTGTTGGGTGAATTCTTGATCGGGGGCTACCACCATCACCATGGTACTAATTGGTTGAAGCTTGATTACATGTATAAACTTTGACCCACGAGTGGTCAAAACATTTTGATTGACCATGTTTTCAATGTGCACGTGCCGCACCCCACATTCTCAACATATAAATACAACCTTCGAAATACCCTTTGTCTCTTATACAACTAAACTAAGCCCAACAACAAGAATACATGGATCGTTTTTTTCCTGAGAAACTTCTCGGTGAGATTTTCTGGGATGGACCTCTTTTGTCCACTGGTCAAAGTGATTCAGTTCAGTATTCCCAAGACATCAAGGGTGAAGAAGCTTTTCCTCTTGCAACTGGAAGCGCTTTCGTCCAATATAGAGACCTACCCAGAATTAAATACCCCCTAAACGGTTCAAACTCACAGAACATGAGTAAGAGAATGCTTGCGTTCTTGAGAAAAAGTTGGCCTGTGGAGAGGAACAGGGTGGATGAGATTGAGAATGAAAGAGAACGTGGTTTCAGGCACATGATTAATGAAAGAATGAGGAGGCAGAGGCAGAGGCAGTGTTGCTTGGCCCTGCATTCAATGTTACCACATGGAACCAAAGTATATATATTTGTATAGAAGATTAATTTACGTAATACATATACTATGGGGCTTTAACTTTTAATTAACTAGTTAGCCATTTTCAATTTTCAATTTCTCTAATTTTTTATTTCTTGTTTATGTTTCCTGGCAGACGGATAATAATTCTGTAATTCAAATGGCAGCCAAGGAGATTGTACGGCTACAAGGATGCAGAGAAGAGTTACAAAGGAAAAATTTTGAGCTTGAAGCTGTTGATAGCAACCAAGGTCGGGGAAGAAGAATTCAATATTTAAGAGTTGCACATCCTAAGTGTGGAATTGATTCTTTGATTGAGAGCCTCAAATGCTTGAAAGACCAAGGAGTGGACACCAGAGGCATCAAATCAACTTTCTCCCCACAAGAGTTGTTTGCACAGTTAGAGATAGAAACTGATGAGGTATATATGCATCATTGTGCTTAGACTTGATGAGGTACTCCTTGGTTCTGGAAAAAGTTATCCAAAAACAAAAAATTGGATCAATTCTCGGCTTCGGCTTGATGAGCTAATCGACTCCGGTCTAGTTAACAATTCGTAGGCCTGAAATTTCCTATTCAACTTGGTATTTTTTTATTATAAAAATTAAATAAAAATATAAAATAAAATGAGTCAATTTAACGCGATTCAATGATTCAATAGGTCAAACTGAATCACAAAATAAATGATCCGTTCGAGCAGAGGCAGATGGATCTATTTGACACCTTTAATTTTGAATTGGATTTTCTGATGGAAACTTGAGAAGAGATGTTAACGGCCTATGATTGTGTTTTTGTTTTTATTTTTTATTATATAATTGTCACTTGTTTTTAATTTTGTTAAAGATGTTTTCGGTAATTTATTTAACGACATCTTTGAAAACAGAAGAAAATTTTAAAAACATAAGTAGACGGATTTTAAATGATTAGTATGATTTGTTCGTGTGAATGATGTCTTGGTATTTTTTAAAGGTCAAAGATGCTGATGTGGAATGGACTACATGGAGAACGCATGATGAACTTGATCGGAAGCTTGACTGCCATGCCCGGGAAGGTTTTAATAAGAAGCAGAAGACTATATGAAGCGTTGGACCAAATTTAGAATTTTATTTTACCCATGGAAAAGTGTACCTTGTATTTGTAAATATTTTTATAGACGCACGAGGAAGAAAAACACGGAGGGGTAATTGACTTTCTAGTGTTTTTTTTATAGTCGTCAAGCTTCTACTCATGTACAACAGTACAAGTCTTTGAATTTTAATTGAGAAACACTTACCCTCTCTAATTTGGCACATGTTAAGTAAATACATAGAATAGTAAGCTGACCTGTGGTAATAATTTTTTTTGGGTCTTGTTGGCTCGGATTAATTTAATTGCGTGATAATAATTTTCTAGCCTATCACATATTTCTTATTTCTTAATAATTTAATATGATATAATATTAATTTATAATTATATATAATATTTATATAAAATATCCATTTTACTTACACATTATACAAGTTGGTTCACCAATTCCTCCTGTTTTTATTAGTTTGTTCAACCGATTAAGTTATTTTATAAATATAAACCCAATTAGTATGATGTCCGTTTTAAGTGCTGAACTGGATGGACCAAACTAATCCAACTAGTTTATAATAGTATATTTGGATAAATTTCTACATTAGTATTTATAGGGGAAAAAAAATAAAACTAAAAGATAAAAAAAAATTCAAAAAGTTAAAATTAGTTTTTAAATATAATAGCTCCTTTAAAAGTTAATTTTAAACTAACAAAATTAGTGAAAAAAATTCATTTTTTCCTTTTTCTTCTCTCTCGGAAATGTCAATGAAAAAATTATACAAATAAATCCTTACAATAGCAACTCGTATATCCAAATAGAAGTGCTCGATGAGAAATTCATATACAAAGCATCCAACCTCACCGCAAAACAATTACAATAAAATCACACATAACAAATAAAACAAAATAATCAAGAATGAAACTACAAAACTTTGCCTCATTTTCCACATTTACCACCGGGTATCGCATTAACTCACAAATATGAATAGTTTAAAGTCAATGGAGAAAGGGAGTAACTCACCCCATAATTAGATCAGATGTGAGAACATTAATTTCCGCAGGACTAAACAACAAAGGGAAAAATGAACAAATTTATTTCATGGAAAAGAAATGAGTAAAAAAATTATACGTTTTTTTCCCACAGTTGCATGCCTCCACTCCATTCCATAGATCTCAGAGAGTCAGAATCTGAAGTCAGGATCCACATCCATTGCCCAAGCAAATTTTGCCAGCAGAGATTTGTTGAAAATCTGAGTATTTCAGACATTAAGTGGTAATGGTTAGTGACAAATGAGAAAAGGTTAGTCATAAACATCAGAGCTAAGTCAGTTTGACACAGGCAAAAACGAATACGTAGTAGACACCTATGTTGGAGAATTTGAAATAGTCAACATGAGATTCTAGGTTCACACCTTAGTGTCGTTATTGTACACCAAAAACCAAAATAACTTACACCTACAGTGCAACAGTTCAGCAATGAACAAAGATATTTAGATCCTGGTGAGAAGCAACATTGCTTTAGGCTAATAAGTGTTAGAAAAAAAATTAGAAAGGAAAAAATGAAATTGTGAAGAAATTATATTGTTTTCCTCACTACAACTACATGAATTGATAATCTAATTATAGTTGAGTAAACTTTAACTATTATATGACTTTCTATTAATACATTAAGTTGCCATAATAACAATAACCCTTCAAATGTTTGGTTGTTACACCACAATAATGTCCCAAATTTCATAGCATACAATAACAACTCTTAATTTTTCTAATTACTGTTTCTAACGGTAAGCACACAAATAATGCTCTCCAACAGAAGCTTGGTTGTTATTTTATATACATACAATAATGAGAAGAAATTTACATACTTTAAGAGTAAGTCTATTAAGAATTACTCCACTTAATAACTCATGTTCTACATCAAATTTTACCGATTCTAAAATTATAAATTCTTAATACATAGATCAAGTTTGTAAATTTTTTAAAAATTTAAAAATTATTTGATATTCTATTTAGTTAATTTAAGTCAATATATAAACTGTTTTTATGATTATCTATCAATTTAAATTAATGAAATAAAATATCAAATAATTATCAAATTTTTTAAAAATTTGCAAACATGATTTATGCATATAAAATTTTTAGTTTAATAGTTGAATTATTAAAATTTGATATAGAACATAAGTTATTGAATAAAGTATAGGTAGACTTATTCTTAGAGTAAATAGATACATTCCGTCTCTACTCTTATCCAACATTGATAACTCACATAATATAAATAGAGAAACAGTCCACACCTTTTCAATAGGAACCTCGTGCCGCTTGCACCAGGCAACTGTTATCCTGGGGTCAAGGTAGTTTACCTTGGAGGTGCTCAATGCCACCGTTTTAAGATCTTCTTTTGTCTTCATGTCACGTTGTATTTTCTCAATTTTTGCATTGGTTTGAGCTATCTTTTTCTCCAGTCTGTAGATTATGTAATTCACTATCATACATCACATTTTATAATCTATACATCTCTACATATAAACATATACATACATATTATAAAAGGAATACATGTAGTAACTACTTTTTGATTTCCATTTTCATGGGACACTTTTACCCCTCTACACACTATTAAAATTTTAAAATCTTCTCACTCTCCATAGTAAATAAAAAAATCACTCACTTCCCTACTAGTATATATAATGCATAAAGATGTTGAGATAATTGTATTACGCTTCAGGATTTAAGTTTCTTTTTATCTTTCCATCCGAACCCTTTAGAGGGGGCTTTCCCTTCCTTGCCCTGTCCAAATCTGTTTTCAGCTCCTTCAAAATGGCCTACAGTTAACGAGTAAATCAACGCCAGTTATATAAGAATCTATGACAAGAAATTCATCCACGCCCAGGTTCCCAAATTTCAAGTATTCTCGTTACCTGAAGCTCATCAATCTTTTCATTCAATCTTGACATCTGTGCAGTGTGAGATTTTGAAACACTACGTTGATGATTACAAATGATAGCAACCTGTTGTGGAAAAAACACAACAATTCAACTTAAACGCAAACAGGTAAAATACATTGATGCATTATCATTGATAACATGGCATTAAAAAGGAATTTTTTAGTCAATTACCTGTTTGTTTGCATTCTGATAAACAACAATCTTTTCTGCAACATCTCCATCTTTAGTTTCCTTGTTCAACTGTTGTCACATTATTCCAGGAAAATTAAATATACAAGTCTACAATTACATGGCACAATAAAAGCTAAAATAACCCTGACTTTCATCCCCCAATATTGGGATACCAGCCTGCAAAGATTTTTTATTTTTTTTTCAATTAAATTAGTACTACAAATTTCAAAAACACAAAATTGGCATCAAATTAGTCCAACCAAAAGATAAATTCGGCGACAATTTTGTATCTTTAAGTAATGAATTTCATGAAAAAAAATCATTGGATGATTATGTTGGTACCTTAATATTTGAAAGACTTGTCCCATTTTTGGTAAAGCTTAATTCTGATGAAATAGTCACTTATCTTTCGAAAAGTCCCTCAACGAACAGAAAAAATAAGCAATAAAGGACAATCATGCACTTATTTGTTAACAGAAATCTCTAGAGGACTATCATGGCGAAACCCTAATCTTTCGAGTACCATATTGAGGGTTTATTCTAAAGGCAATAAAGGTAAACCATTATACAAATCATAATATTCTTTTATAAAATTAATCACATCAGATATTTAACTTAATTTGCTAACAATATATTTTCAGCACGTGTCTATATTACTTGGAGATTTAAAAGCATTTTGACCGTGGATAACAAGTGACAGTAAGAACAGTGTCTCACAAAATAAATGTGCTATTAGAAGTGCAAAGCAATTAATATGTTCATAAATTGTGTAGAAAATTTTTAACATGACCCTGTACAGATCCAAAGGGAATCTTGGTGCAAATTTTTGTAAGAAAAAAGGAAGTGTATGGCTACAAGAGTTCGATTAAAAATATTGTGAACAAATTTTCAATCCTAAAACTTCACTCTAAGAAGATACTCTCCTAATCTGATTTCTGGGGACAAAGGGGTAACTAACTTCACTGTCACATACATACAATGACAAAAGAATAAACTGAGCACATGTAAAAGCATAGCAGAGAACAGAATAATCTATTGTTTTCATATAATACAAGGCAGAACTTAATGTCAAGGCACTTTTTACCATATTATCTAAAGTTATAGATGCGTTGAATGTTCGAAAAACTTTTGCTGTCAGGCCAGGCATAAGTTCCTTCAGATGAGCATTTAATTTACTTGTATCCAGCATGTCAAAAAGATCATCACCAGGGCGTTTATCTGGCAATTAAGAAAAATAAATACGTAATGGCCTTTGTCTCGTAGCAATATATAAAAAATGAGAACCAGTTTCTCACTCTTTTGGAACTTCAAAATTGCATTATAAACAGGAAGCTCTACTTCAACGGTATTTTCATACTTGATAGAGTCTTTACCAAGGAAGTTAAACTGCATTAAACCAGAAAGGAAACATATCATTATTTTCCAAAAGTATTAGCAGCCAACCCCAACAATTTAAGCCAGGGATAACTGAACTTAAAATACACACACACAAGGAACTGCAATTCATCACACCCAACCAAAAATTGAGAGAAAATGTAGAGAATATTATAAGCCTGAATACCCTCAGCTTGTTAGGGGCTTCTGCAGTAACATTCTCCACTTTTAATGTACAACAACCAACTGTATCAGCTTCATCATCGTCCTGAGAAAATGTAAATGAGAAACTATACATAATGAGTAAAAGCCAAAGCAATTGGCTGACATTAAAGGCAATGAGAAACAATTGCAAAAGTACATATCTGAACTGAGTCCTTTCATCAACTTCAACGAGTAAAATACATGGTTGTCAAACTCGCGAGTCAACTCGTAAACTCGTACGAGTCAACGAGTCCAGGGTAGCAAAACGAGTTGACTCGCGAATAGACTCGTTTTTGGGTAGACTCGGGTAGACTCGGTCAGAATCGCGAGTCTGAGCCCGAGTCCACGAGTCTGGTTACGTTTTTTTTTTGACCCCTAAATGGCCCAAAACAACGTCGTTTTTGCCTAGGGTTAGTTAGTTAGTGAGTGTTAAGATAATTCTATAAGATATAGTTTAGATATACTAGTTTATCTTCTCTTTAGTTAGTTTTATCTAAATCCCTAAACTTTAGGGATTGATTATGTTTTCTGCCTATTTATTTTATTGTACCTATTCAGATTCGCCAGAAACATTTAAAAGATACACGGGAAGCTTTAGCTGTTGTCCTTGAATTCGAACATCCAAGTCACGAACCAATCCTTCAGCTTGCAGAGAATTTCCATTACCAACTAAAACTTGGAATTGAGGAATTGGCTCAATAGGCAATTTCAATGAATGAGCAATCTGAGGTTGTAAGAAATTATCCGAGCTCCCACTATCAAGCAACACTTGCACTAAAAGGCCATTGATTGAACCTTGGAACTTCATGGTGCCTAAACCCGAGGAACCCTTCAAGGCATTGTAAGATAAGTGAGGTTGCTGCAAACTCAAAGTAGAATTAGCACCCAGTATATCAGGAGGGTCAGGTTCCGGCTCATTAATATCATCCTGTTCTAATTGTAAAAGAAGGTACTGCTTGTTGGGACATCTATGACTGGAAGAGAACTTCTCATCACATGTATAACACAATCCCTTCTCCCTTCTTAATTGCATCTCTGCAAGAGAAATCTTCTTAATCGTGTTAACGAGAGAACTTTGGTTTGGGGTGGGCAATAATGGTGGTGAACTGGTAGTTCGAAGGGTTTGGGATAAGGGTAGGCTAGTTTGGTATGGTTTGTGGTTAGGAATGTATTTTTCTTCATATAACTTGGCTAACAAAACAGATCGGATCAAAGTGGTAGGAGCCTGTGCAATAACATCCCTCCTAATCTCAGGTTTTGAACCACCCACAAAGCAATCCAAAAGAGCATCAGTGGTAATTCCATGCACACGGTTCGCCAAAGAAGTGAACTGCACATAATAATCCTGCACTGACCCGGCCTGTGTCAATTTGAACAAATGTGACCTAGGACATTCATACGGTGAAGGACCAAATTCAATCTCCAAAGCTCTTGTAAGGTCAACCCATGAATGAAATGTATTGGTGCGAGTCATCATTTGATACCACGGAATGACGTCTTTATCAAGGTGTACAGCAGCAATGGTAAGTCGTTGTGCATCAGGAGTGTTATAGTAATTAAAGAATTGCTCTGCTTTGAAATTCCATTGAAGCAAATTAGTACCATCAAAACGCGGAAAATCCAATTTAACGTTTCGTACGTGGAACGGTTGAACCGGAGCACCACCGTTTGTTTCTCGTATTAGCTTTTGTTTCATCAATTCATCCACAACAGATTCTAATGTCTCAAATCTAGTTGAATCCTCTTTATCGCGATTTTCCATCCATTCCAGAATGCGCTTCACATCAGAGGAGAGTTCTTTTAAGCGAGTATTTTCCGCCATGACAAAAATGAAAGCACCAATTTGTAATGTGTAAAATTAACTATGATCAATGAGTATGAAATTCCTCTGTAAGTATTATTGCACTATGAATGTTTGCAAAATTGGCACAAGCACTGCCTCAGCTGGATAGAGAAATGTTTTCTCATAATCCAACAAATGATCTGGTGATCCCTTGTGATCACTTCATCCCATAATAGGAGACTCAACAACATGAAGTTTGGGTAAATTCCTGACACTAATTTTGTTGGGCTGAAATGTGTTGTCAGTTCCAGATCTAGGGGAGCCAAGACTTACTTCAACATAACAATTCTGCCCCCTCAGCTGGCAACCAACACCCTGGGAAACATGATTAGGGAGACCTATAATTCCATTGTACACCCTATATTTGGTAGAACTGCTATTAAAAAAAAGGAACTCAGTCTGCCAGTCATGGGTAATATCTTGATATATCAAATGTCTATCTAAAAGGTTATAGAAGGGACCTGAAATAGCTTTGTTTGACCAAATCACTAGGTGAACAACCAGTCAAGCTGCCACGCATTAGAGAAACAATCACTGCCACAATAATGAAAAATAAAATCAAACATGGTGCCAAGAAAAGCCATCTGGAGAACTAAGATAAACTCAGTAACCCTTTTGGATATTGCTAACTAAATTAGTAATGAACATGCATGAACATATGATATTTGTCAGAAACCCAGCTTAGAAAAGAGAATATAAAAGAAGGATTGAATTTCTTGATTGAAATTGAACAGAACAAAGGAGAGAGATCTCTCCTCCAAGATATTCCCTTTTACAAAGGATTTCTCCTTTCACAAAGGCAATAGCTAAAATTACAAATGATAACAGATCTGAATGAATTCTATCAATTTATCTCACAAACTTCCTCTAACTCCCACTCTAACTGACTAATGAGTCACTTTGTTTAAAAAAACAATTATAAAGAAGTTCTTTTGAATTTATTTTTTTTAAGAAGTAGATAGGAGTTGCTACTTATAAAAAAAGAACTTTTTTTTTTTTAATAAGCAGTTTAGATAAAATGTCAAAAAAGTAGAAAACTGCTTATTTTATTAAAAAAAAAGTTTTTTTGAGAAGAAAAAAAAGTTTAAACAAACAGGCCCAATATTCTAACTATCCCAATTAACTCTCCCCCACAGTCTTAAAAATATGACACCTGAAAACAGAGGAAGACATTGACAGAGATAGAGACAATAACATGGCATGAAAGTATCAATAACAGAGAAAGAATAAATAGCCTCTTTCCTCTTCTTCAATAACATAGAAAGAAATTTATTGGGAATAAAAGAACCAAGTAAAACAAGCTTGAGATGCAGGTTCCTTCTAATTATCAAAATATCTCAAATGTGTGTAACAAAATCTCTAAGATGCAAAACTCAGTTCTCGGTACAACAAAACTCCTCAAACCCCCTTAACTTATATAATAGACCAAAATTGGCCTTGTATACATTAGCAAAAGTTTGCAAATACAAAATGTTATCCCAAAGGACAGAAATCCTCATCAACCAATCCTTGGAAATCCTAGCATTGCTCTCCATCATTACAAACCAAACAAAAGCCAGCATAACCAAAATATTTTAGTACCAGCAAAGATGGATAGATAGCACATCTATGAATAGTAAATCTGAGAAATTGAGAAATAAATTGAACAACCTGGAAGTCTATAGGCTGACTCTATAGAATGTCTTAATACTTTTTCCAAATCACCCATGGAAAGAATCCGGATATGCCCGGTAAAAAGGGGGGAAAATAATAGGTAAATATTCCAATGCAAGATAACTATTGATTAACTAAAAAACTGTCACATCTACAAATGAGAGAAGGGTAATTAAGAGAAAGGACAAGGAGAGTGAAGCTGACACATCATCTAGGGGACAGGTGGCAACTAATTCATGGAAGGTGGACGTGCAGAAAAGTAAGAGAAATAGAATATCAAATTCACGTTGGAGGTATTACGTGTGAGAGCATGATGGTATATAGCCAATTAATTATAAGAGAGAGGGCATGGAAAGACTGATTCTAGTTTTCTCTCTCTCAATATTTCCATACTTTCGTTATTTCTTTTCTCTGTATCTACTACTATTCATGGTAGCTCAACCTTTCATTGTAAGTAACTCATAGTGCAATAATACTTACAGAGGAATTTCATACTCATTGATCATAGTTAATTTTACACATTACAAATTGGTGCTTTCATTTTTGTCATGGCGGAAAATACTCGCTTAAAAGAACTCTCCTCTGATGTGAAGCGCATTCTGGAATGGATGGAAAATCGCGATAAAGAGGATTCAACTAGATTTGAGACATTAGAATCTGTTGTGGATGAATTGATGAAACAAAAGCTAATACGAGAAACAAACGGTGGTGCTCCGGTTCAACCGTTCCACGTACGAAACGTTAAATTGGATTTTCCGCGTTTTGATGGTACTAATTTGCTTCAATGGAATTTCAAAGCAGAGCAATTCTTTAATTACTATAACACTCCTGATGCACAACGACTTACCATTGCTGCTGTACACCTTGATAAAGACGTCATTCCGTGGTATCAAATGATGACTCGCACCAATACATTTCATTCATGGGTTGACCTTACAAGAGCTTTGGAGATTGAATTTGGTCCTTCACCGTATGAATGTCCTAGGTCACATTTGTTCAAATTGACACAGGCCGGGTCAGTGCAGGATTATTATGTGCAGTTCACTTCTTTGGCGAACCGTGTGCATGGAATTACCACTGATGCTCTTTTGGATTGCTTTGTGGGTGGTTCAAAACCTGAGATTAGGAGGGATGTTATTGCACAGGCTCCTACCACTTTGATCCGATCTGTTTTGTTAGCCAAGTTATATGAAGAAAAATACATTCCTAACCACAAACCATACCAAACTAGCCTACCCTTATCCCAAACCCTTCGAACTACCAGTTCACCACCATTATTGCCCACCCCAAACCAAAGTTCTCTCGTTAACACGATTAAGAAGATTTCTCCTGCAGAGATGCAATTAAGAAGGGAGAAGGGATTGTGTTATACATGTGATGAGAAGTTCTCTTCCAGTCATAGATGTCCCAACAAGCAGTACCTTCTTTTACAATTAGAACAGGATGATATTAATGAGCCGGAACCTGACCCTCCTGATATACTGGGTGCTAATTCTACTTTGAGTTTGCAGCAACCTCACTTATCTTACAATGCCTTGAAGGGTTCCTCGTGTTTAGGCACCATGAAGTTTCTTCTAATTGTAAAAGAAGGTACTGTTTGTTGGGACATCTATGACTGGAAGAGAACTTCTCATCACATGTATAACACAATCCCTTCTCCCTTCTTAATTGCATCTCTGCAGGAGAAATCTTCTTAATCGTGTTAACGAGAGAACTTTGGTTTGGGGTGGGCAATAATGGTGGTGAACTGGTAGTTCGAAGGGTTTGGGATAAGGGTAGGCTAGTTTGGTATGGTTTGTGGTTAGGAATGTATTTTTCTTCATATAACTTGGCTAACGAAACAGATCGGATCAAAGTGGTAGGAGCCTGTGCAATAACATCCCTCCTAATCTCAGGTTTTAAACCACCCACAAAGCAATCCAAAAGAGCATCAGTGGTAATTCCATGCACAAGGTTCGCCAAAGAAGTGAACTGCACATAATAATCCTACACTGACCCAGCCTGTGTCAATTTGAACAAATGTGACCTAGGACATTCATATAGTGAAGGACCAAATTCAATCTCCAAAGCTCTTGTAAGGTCAACCCATGAATGAAATGTATTGGTGCGAGTCATCATTTGATACCACGGAACGACGTCTTTATCCAGGTGTATATATAGCAGCAATGGTAAGTCGTTGTGCATCAAGAGCTTTATAGTAATTAAAGAATTGCTCTGCTTTAAAAATCCATTGAAGCACATTAGTACCATCAAAACGCGGAAAATCCAATTTAATGTTTCGTACCTGGAAAGATTGAACCGGAGCACTACCGTTTGTTTCTCGTATTAGCTTTTGTTTCATCAATTCATCCACAACAGATTCTAATGTCTCAAATCTAGTTGAATCCTCTTTATCACGATTTTCCATCCATTCCAGAATGCGCTTCACATCAGAGGAGAGTTCTTTTAAGCGAGTATTTTCCGCCATGACAAAAATGAAAGCACCAATTTGTAATGTGTAAAATTAACTATGATCAATGAGTATGAAATTCCTCTGTAAGTATTATTGCACTATGAGTTACTTACAATGAAAGGTTGAGCTACCATGAATAGTAGTAGATACAGAGAAAAGAAATAACGAAAGTATGGAAATATTGAGAGAGAGAAAACTAGAATCAGTCTTTCCATGCCCTCTCTCTTATACGCAGCTCCGCCTCAACGAACGCGCATCTCCGCCGCTACGAACGCGCGTCTCCGCCGCTGCGAATGCACGTCTCCGCCGCTACGAACGCGCGTCTCCGCCGCTACGAACGCGCATCTCCGCCGCTGCAAACGCACGTCTCCGCCGCTACGAACGGTGCCGCAATCGAACGCCACCGCATACGAACGTGCGTCTGGGAAGGACGCGAGTCTGTTTTCTCTCCCTCCGCCGCATCTTCTGCCGCATACGAATGCCTCATTGCAGCTTCCAGTGTCATCGTGAGTGTTAGTTCTCAGTTCTGACTCTTAACATTTTTTGATTTTTTGGTTTGTTGGTGTTATTCACAATTTACATACTTAGTCTCTTACTCCTATAATTGCAAGATGTCTGAAACCGGTGGTGGCTCAAAGTCTTCAAGTACCCTTATCATCAAATGAAGAGGATGAGGTTGAAGAAAATGAAGATGATGATGATGCACATGAATTTGTTGGAGGATTGGACTTTGATTGATAAATTTAGATCTTGTTTTATGTTTTTGATTTGTGGACTTATGTGTTTTCGACTTTTGGTTGTTCATGTATGGTTAAGATTTGTATTATGACATTTTATTGTTGTTATTTGACTTATTTCAGACTTAGAATGTTAAAATAGTGATATCATATTGTGTGTGTTTATGTTTTTTAATATCTTTTACTATTAGGTAGACTCTTACGAGTCTACGAGTCGAGTCTACGAGAGCTCCACGAGTTTGTGTAGACTCTCGAGTTTGACAACCTTGGTTAGCATAAACAAGTCCAAGCTAGTATATTTGCAGAAATCATACCTTCTCATTGCCAGCCCTCAAAGCTAATTTGTCAATAAGATACGTAGCAACAGCTATTTGCTTCTTTGAAATATCTTTGCTAGTAAAATCTTGTGTGTATGCAGCCCTAATGTTCCCTACATAACCCTGCACCCAGGTTTCAAGATGTAAAGTATAAATTAACTGGCTCTTTTATATATCATAAAAATATAATGTGAAAATACAGAATTCATAAAAGCTGATAAACATAGCATGAAAGTACCTTCAACATCCTGGCTTTCTCATATTTTTCCTTGTCGCTTTGCCCCTTCAAGGAACTACTAGCTGCCAGAAACACATATTTGAATAATTTAGGATTGATTGGATCATTCCAGAAGGCTAACCAAGTAACTGTTTTGTCATGTCTTATCTCCTTCCATCTGCCAAGGTTACACAATCCAATCATGGTAAAAAAATTATAAAATTGACTTTCAATTTTGCCTTTTAGAATTTTTCTCCAAGGCAATTGGAAAAAATATCATACCTTTCACCAGGAATAGGACATTCAGGAAGTGGTGCATCCTTCCCAATATTAATTGTGATATCATGTGGATGGATGCGTCTTTTCAACTTGCCCATCTATAACATAAATTGAAGTCAATAAGTAGAAGATAATAACACCTGTCAAAGTTCTTAAGATGCACCCACAGTGTATTAAAACCATTATATCTAAAATTAGTCTATATGTTTCTATTTCCTGTGACAAGCATCATAACAACCTTGGGATGCTCTCCACGGCCTCTGAACAATCCTGGTGGCTCAACTCTGAAATTCCCCACCTAAAAGAGATTTAAGGGATATCAGTCATAAAATTAAAATGTTTCCCAAAGAATAACTTTAAATTAATAATTTGCATTATTTAGGATATTCAAAAGTAAAAGCTTGAATAGAGAAAGATCCCGATATTAAATACGACACTAGTTAAAATGTAAATTATCATGAACATATAACCCCTTTAAAGCAACCATTTTCTAGAAACAATAATGAATACAAAAACACTTTTATAGCCCATAGTAGCATAACTGTGACTGTAGAAGACTTTATGTTGACAATACACAGCATTGTGCAGTAACAAAATAAACCAAATAAGACAGCACAACACCACAAAATCTTATTTCCTTCATCCAACCAACAAAATTGATCAAAGCCAAAAGAAAAAAGTATTTTTATATAAGACTCACATTTTTCAAAAAGTTGCATAGAATTGATTTTGTGCCTTTAAATATAATTGAGGTATGTATCCAAATTAATCTCAACCACAAAATATACATTTGATAGTGGGTACGGTGTGGGGAATTGACTTTTGGTCAAAACAACCAAGCCCTAAGTGTGTGTTACTCATCTCACTCTCTTGCCCTGACCCTTGTGGAAATTTATCTATTATTTTGTCTTCTTAAAGAGGTAAGTTTCATTAGCCCGCATTGTACTTGATTACCATAAAAAGAAACAAAAGTTTAAGCCGACATAATATGGTATTGATGCAAGAACCCAATAGCAGCAAGACAGCATAAGCTTAGAGAACAAATCACCTTAGTATTTTAGCTTAGCTCTGATGTCAGAAATTTTTGTATTCTTTTATAACCTTCCCTAGAAGTTGTTAGGAACTTATGAGTGGACTGTACAACACCAAGTTTAGGGGTATTTTATTATTTTTCACCATATATTTGTTTTCTTTTGGTGGGTTGCTAGTGGGCTTGGGTTGTTCTTTAGATGCTTTAGAGTCTTACTTTGATGTCTAATTGTTTCTCAATAGATTAGAAGGCACAAAATCCTATCTTATTAGTTCTATTTCTACCTCATGCTTGTCAGATAATTCATGGCTCTATTTAAGCAGCTATAACTTCCTTTTAAATCAATGATTAGATTAAGAATTATGGAGCATACCGCTCCCTTCTCAGTGATGCAGAAATTGTGCAGAACTGGCATTTTAGATGGATGTTGGGGCCCTCACTGCAATTTTCCATAGTGCAATGGATATTCATGCCTCCAAAGAACCCCTCCCTGCCTCCAACTCATCCTCGCTGACTCCAATGGACCCAACCTTACGCCATTCTAGAAGTTCATAATGAGACCACACCACAATGGTGCATTATTCTATCATTCACCATTTTCTTCCAGCATGTTATTACTTGCCTTAGAATTTAATCTTAGGATCTAACTCAACCCTTCAAAACTAGTTTATAAGGTATGGATTGCCCAAGTTTTATAAGCTTTATTTAAGCCATTTCTTTAGTCAATATGAAACTAAACCACCACCCTTGAGACTGCAATTAAAGCAACCCTCAAAGATGTTGCAACTAAGGAGACTTTCCAACACTCCCTCTCACACCTAGAGCTACCAGCTTAGAGCGTAGCAAATGCAGGTGAGGTGACCTAACAATGGATGATCTTAGAATTTGGATTTTATGGTCTAAATCAACTCCAAAAAACTAACTAGTAAGGTGAGGACTGAGTTTTATAAACTTTATTTAAGTCATATCTATAATCAAATTGGGACTGAACCACCACCCTTGAGGCTACAACTAAAGTGGGCTAGGGGTCACTCGCTTAATGCAGCTTTCCAACATTCTGTACATCATTTTGAGTTTGTGATGTTCTATTTGTTCCTAACACATAAAGTCCACCAATTTTGGACTAGCAATGTTCTATTTTAATTAGGTCAGCTCTTACAAGTTCACAAGTTAAATCTATGATCGCACCACAAGTTTATGTAAACTCTCAAGTTTGACAATTTTTCTATTTGGTGCCTATAAACTTTACTGTTGTTATCCCAAGCTCATGTTAGAAACCCCTCATCTAGAACCGCTCCCCTGCCCTACAAAAAAAACAAAATTAAAATTCCACTGTCCTTCCTACATTAAGAATTTTATTGAACCAAATAATTGAAAGAGAGGATTCTATTAATTTGTTTCTTACTAATTACATTTTTCTATTACCCTATTACATAGATACATTTGTTCCTAAAACAGATAACTATGAAAATAAACAAAAATAAAGGAAATAAGAAAAGATTATAAAATAATATCAAATCTCCTATGATACTCCTATTTACAACACAAATATAATCACTTGATAATCTGCAATTCTAATCTTCCTTGATGTGAATCTCTATTGAACCAACTCTCGCAAATGCTTAATCTGTTAGGTCAAGGCTCATGAATGGTTTTATATCTAACAGTATCAAACTCCCAACTTCATTTATATATAGATACGTTCAAGAACTATAATGAAAAGACTCAACGGGGAGCACAAGGAATGATTTTGTTTTGTCATTTCTTAAAAACTTCAATGTCAACAATTAAGCAAATTGTTATGCAATATACAACTGAATCGGAAATTTTAGGGCCTCTTTATTTTGAGAAAATGTTTTCCTTTTTCATTTCTTGTTTTCATTTATAATCACAAAAATGTAGCATTGTGTTCATTTTGTTTTTTTTTTTTTTGTATATGAAACAATGAATACAATTGTTTCTTATACAAATTTTTGCAAACAGAAAAGTGAAAACAAAAAACATTTTCACAAACCAAATAGTCCCTTATATTAACAAGAAAAAGTAAATGAATAATAACTATACACTACTAGTTGCGACAGTACAATGACTGCAGCTCCTCTGGTCAGTATTAATCACTTCAAATTTCAGTTAGCATCAAATTATGATAGAGATAAAGGGCAAGTGAACATCCAACTTTGTAATACTAACTCCTAATTAATTCATGAAAAGGATAAATCAAGATTAGGTGAAGTAATATCTTTCCATTCACAAAATATAATGGCGGGATCACAGATGGTCATAAACTCTCTGGACAAATTCTAAGACAGAAACCAGATAACATTGTTTTTAAGAGAGATTCAAAGGGGTTTTAGTTGGGCACACCGAGAGAGAGAGAGAGAGAGAGAGGATTAAACCTTCTCTTTAACTCCATCAACAATAGCCCACATGTATTTTTCCTCTTGTTTCATTTTCTCCTCCTTCAAGGCCTTCTTCTCCTGCATGAAAAGAAGACTAAAAAGGTCAACACTTGCTAGCACAATAAAAGACACTAACTATAACATCTCAGGTAAACTAATTAAAAACATCACAAAACTAGCATATATGCAATATATATACAATTATATAGTTATATTATACAAAGCATATCCCAGAAAGAAACACTAAAAATCAAAAGCTTCGCAAGGAAATATAACTTGTATAAGATTAACCATGACCTTTATTTTATGAATAGGCCGAGTTTCATTTCTGCTCCTTTCCAATAGATTGTAAAAAAATTAACCTATAACAATAATGCTTGTAAGACCAAAAAAATATGTACTATGACCAATAGTATGCAGTGGACCATAGTTGTCAGAATCATGAAACAGATTGTAGAACGTATTATTCTATGTGTTGCAGATCTGAATGACACTGATATCAGCGCAGAACTCATTTTAATGGGATTGTAGTAGGATTGCATGCTGGATCATAAATTTGATGGGATTGTGAAATCCATAGATTCCGGCTGATGCACCAAATCCAAGAATAATCCAGCCCAAACCGAGAATAAAATCCAAAAAAGATTAACCCTTTGTCTACCAGTCTAGAGGGAAATGGAAATTAACCAAACAAAATATCATTGCTCAAGGCTGATACAAACTGTGATGAGCATTGACTTAGGTTTTGCAACTGGCAACTGAATATCTGGACTTCAGAGCAGTGACTTGGGTGCTGGGACCTGCAAAGATTGGGTCCTGATGCAACTACCCCTGCTTTGGGTCCCTTCTATTTCTGGGTATTGCCTTTCTTCCATCCATTTCCGGGTATTTTTGTGTAAGGATATAATGCTATCTAAAATAAACACAGAAAATCTTAGAATTATATAACACTCCTTTTCGCTGTTTGCCATTTTGAATTTTAAATGAATTTATTAATGTTAGTTGTAATTATAAGATATCTTGGCCATCTTGTGTTACACGTCTACATTCTCTATCCAATCCTAAGTAGGATCTATGAGTTCAACAAGCATGATTTGGATAGTACAGAACTAAAGCAGATAAAATCAATCAATAAATATATGCATGTGAAACTGGAAAAAAAAACTAATATCTATTTTAAAAAGTAAAAGAAGCTTTGACATATTAATTTCTATCAGTCAAATGAAATTACACAACGCAACTTACTTCTGAACTCATTTGTTTCTTCTTCTCCTTTTCACTTTGGTACCAATCATAGATTGGGGAGAAGTCACAATCTTTCAAATTCTGAATTACATGATTTTTTCCTAGCAGCTTACGCCAGTCATTCCAAAAATTATCCTTGAATCTATCTTTCTGCATGTAATCTGTATCTCGCATGACTGCAAACATCGTGGCAACCTGCAATATATGTTCAAATTCATAATATGGTCAAAAACTCGGAGAAAAGAAAAATTTATAAGATGAGAACCGTTAACCAGGAATACTTAAGTGGCTTCAATTCCTCAAAAATATAAACATGAGCTAATAGCCACCCAAAATCATTAAAGCATTTTTCAGAGATAAAATCCCACCTCCTCTTGCTCAGGAGTCAAAACCACTGGCTTCCCCTTATAGAGCATCTTTACCCTATGAGCCTGGTATGGAGGTGGGAAAATAACACCATTGTGAACCAATGTAGTCCATTTTTTCTGTCCATCACCAGAGCTAGGAAGAAGCTTAGTAGATTTGGAATATTCTGAATTTTTTCCTGTTTTTTTGAACTTCTTGGGCCGTTTCTTTAAAGATAGGGAAGTAGCCCTATTAACTTTAGTGACATTTGTAAACTTCTTCAAGGAAGACGATTTATCTGCAGATGACACTGATTTCTTTATTCTTTGGGAGAGAGGAATATCATCATCATCATCATCATCATGCTCTACCTTTGGCTCAGGTTTCACTGATACTTGTTTAGCATTGATTGATGAAGATGAATCTAAGAGTCTTGCCTTCTTAAATGAAGAGTGTAAGGAATCGATCTTATCTAGTGGTCGCTTAACAGACAGTGTAGATGGCCTTTCCTTTTCAATACCAACCCTCGGTCCAACTTGTGGTCCTTTCTGAACTTTTGAAATTGGTTTCTTCTGATCAGAGTCATCATAGTTACTAACAGATGTTCCCAAATTAGAATTCCACGATAACCTTGCTGACAAAGGGATATCATCGTCGTCGTCATCAGAGTTACTAACAGATGTTCCCAAATTAGAATTCCACGATAACCTTGCTGACAAAGGGATATCATCGTCGTCGTCATCAGAGTCTTCAAAAGATCGCTTAGGAACAACATGGGTTGCTTTGCTAGAATTTTTAGAGTTCACATTCAACCTAGCACCCAATGATTTATTATCATCCTCATCCATAGAGTCTTCACAATTGTTTTTAGGAAGATGTTTCATAGAACTTTTTCTCTCCTTACCATCAATGGGAATTTTCTGTTCTGATATAGGCTTTTCTTTGACGCTCAATGATGGTGACATTGAATTTGCTAAAGGCGACTTCACATGATAGGTCTTGAGATTTGAAGTTGATGCTTGTGAGATACCTACAGTAGATTTCATGGCGGAAACTTTAGAGGATGGGACATTTGACTTCTGACCCTTCTGTAAACTAGAACTTTGGCCATTTGACTTCCTGACTTCTGAATGCAATAGATTTTTCTTTGGTGTGCTCCTTTTGAAAGTTATTGGCTCATCATCATCAAAATCATACGACATGTTTAATTTACCAGAAGCCTTAACAGCCATTACTCAACTATGGAATGTGTTGGCATATATATATATGTCACACCATGTTCTGGAGAGAAAACAAGGAGGAAGTTATAAGTTCCAGCCCTAGTACTACTCTAGCTTATTAAATAAACTTCTCAAGAAACACTAATGTGATAAGCTAGTTTTAGTTAATGGATAAGCTTACTAGTAATTTTTTGAAGAAGCTATGTGAAAAAGCTTCGATAAATTAGCTTATGATAAATTAGCTTATACATAAGCTAATTTTAGCTTATGGAGAAGTATATTTCATGTTTTCTTCCTATAAGTGTTTTTATAGAAATTTATCAAAAACAAACCCCAAAATTACATAGCAAACTTCAATGGCAATTGGCAACACCACGGAAATATCAATTCTACACAACAATTACAAGAAAAGTTAAAAGCAACTTGATGCAGTTTCAAGATGGTGAATTTAAACTTTTGGTATCTTAGCTACATTCTAAAGCCAACTGAAGTTACGAAAACCTATCCTATCATCAATTTAAAATTTTGGCATATAAAATGAATTACAAAGCACATTATGAATTATGTGGTGAGTGAAGAAGAAGATGCTAAACTGAACCAAGAATGCCCAAACACCAATACTTGCCTCTTACATAACAAAATACTAAGTAGAACAAAGTGACTAATTAGATGTGAAGAAAATACTAAGATTCTATCAGATAGCAATCGATCATATGGGTAAGATAGAGGAATGGAGCAGCTGAGCTAGGAATTAAAAAGTGATGAATTAGATGTGGAGAGGAAAAGGGGATTAGGATTATTACCTGTGAATAAGTGAGAGAGTTTGGTATGGAAGAGAGTGGGAAGGTAGCTGGGAGAGAGAAGAGCAGTTGCCAGTTAGGGTGAGAAAATCTCAGGACAGGACAGGTATTTGGGTCGGGATGGGAGCGAAAACATTAAGGATTAAGGAGCTGATACTTGAGAGAGAGTTTCGGACTTGGCATCTGCTGATATCATCATCTAACATCATTAAATTTAATTTCCATTCTCACCCTTCTTAGTTCTTACTTTCTACTTTCTCTTTCTTTTTTTGTTTATTTTTGGCTCTAATTTCAGTTTCTATGTTCTGCTGCCATTTACACTTTCTCCAATGAGCTCATTGTTATACTCCAGGCCAACTTCTACTTTCTCAATACCATTTTTATTTTTTTGTATTTTTTATAAAAAAAATACTTTTTTCTACAAATTAATTTTTGAAACGTATTTTTGGACATTTGTTTTTTCAGTATTTCAGAAACTAATTTTTGAAATGTGTAAAAGATAATATCATAATAGCATTTCATAAATTAGTTTATCTAACAATTATCATTTTATAGTTACGATATGGTGGTTATGTTTAATTAGATCATTTAAGTTCTTTGTTAGTTCGTTTAGTTTTCTTAAGGTTTAACTTATTGTCATGGTTTACACCTAAGTTTCTTTATATATGTAAGATTTTATGAGTTCACCTCTTAGAGCGTGTTTGGATATATGTTGAAAACGTGAAAAATCATGTTCAACGTGGAAACTTTTTACGTTTTCAACATATATCCAAACACGCTGTTAATCCTTTCCAACTCCTACGATAACGTCAAATGCTTGTCAATTCATTCAACACAATAAAGCAATAGAAAGAAATCAAATGGAATAAGAATCACACAAGAGTAGAAGAAATTAATTCATTAATAGGTATACAACGCTATGCCCAGACCTATAGACAAAGAGGACTACTCATAGGTAGTTTATTAACACAACAAAAATCAAAATGGAAGAAAACAAAATGTGGAGACAGAGAGAGATAATCCTTCATTTCCTAGAATTTTTTACTGTAATAATATTTTTTTAAAAAATTCAAAATTGAACCTCCCCTATAATTATTTACCCAAATAAACTTGTTTTCTGTAGCTTCCGAACCGAATTTCAAGAAGTTTATTTTTTTTTTACACAAAAACAGTTTTATTAATTATATGAATTTATATATAAAATAATTTATAAATATAAAAATGGCTTAAATATGTTTTTAATCTCTCAAATTTAAGGTAAATTTATTTTTGGTCCCTCAAATTTAAAACGGTTGTTTTTAGTCCTTGTAATTTTCAAAACTCTTGTTTTAGTCCCTTAGATTACCAATATTATATTTGAAAGTGACTAATTAAGACAGTTATGCGATATTAACCAGATTTAATGTGATATTTTCACTAATAGGAATACCGATAGGTAGATTTTATGCAATAATATTTGATAAATTTTTTAACAAAATTTGAATATAAGGACTAAAATAAGATTTTTTGAAATTACAGGGACTAAAAATAACAATTTTAAATTTGAGGGATCAAAAATAAATTTATCCTAAATTTGAGGGACTAAAAACATATTTAAGCCTATAAAAATTTATAATATTAATAATTTATACTTTTATGAAGCAATAAATTTAATAATTCATAATTTTAACAAATTATAATTTTAATGAGTTATAAAGTTAATAAGTTATATTTTTAATAATTTAAAATTTTAATAAGTTATAATATTAATAATTTATACTTTTAATATTTTATAATTTTAATATGTTATAATTTTAATAATTTAAATTTTAAAAATTGGCCTT